GAATACAAAATTGCTTGACAACCAATACGCGCTCGTTTTGACGCGCTATTGTGATTACACTAACTAACACAATCTACTTTGATTGTGTTAGTTCGTGATGTGAGCGACGATGGAATGCACATAGTACTCTTTGAGCATTACTTACAGCAAAGCTATCATCTAAAATTTTCGAATTATCCTCCATTGTTCCAAACTCACATATACCACCATTTTTACAATCACATAACAATGTCAGGAACTCTTTGGAAGAATTTGCTACACCATCACTTGCAACTACGCCAAGTCTAATCATAGATGTATCTTGTGGTGTCCACGTAAAGACCCCGGCTGTGAATAAATTCATACGTATATTAAAATATTACTTAAAATAAATACATCAGACTTCATCCGGTGATACAATATTTTTCATAAAATTGTGTTAAATTTTTACCCATAGAAAAAGGAACAGGATTACTAAAAATCCTTTTAATATAATTAGTAATGATGTTAGGCAGCTACAATATTCATTTTTTTTTTCAATATCGTTATGTCGGTGAAATATCGCCTTTATTATATAAATTCTTATTTTTCTCCCTCCGCCGTATGCCTCTTTAACCATAATTTTTACAGGTAGAAGTAGTATTATGTTTAATTTAACTTGGAAATTAATAGTTATGTTTCACTGCCAGATAGGCCTATTAGTCGTCGAAGTCGTAGATAGTAGTAGTAGTGGTGGTAGTAGTAACAATAGCTATTTTTTAGAATTTAATAAATTCCATTAGATATATGTATATAATATTCATACATTATTAATATTACAAAGCGTCTTCATGCCTACATTATTACTACGTAAAACTTACATGCTGAATTAATTGATGCTCCAGCTACGGGCTGCAGAAGAGAAAACGTGATGTCATTATCGTTTTCATCTGTTGCAACCACAGTAAATGTGTAATTCTCACCGACAGTTGCATATATGAAGCTTCCGTTTAAGAAATCATTTTCGTCTTCAATGTGGGTTATATTGGGTGGGAAATTCACTGAAACGATGCAACATTTTAAACGGTAATAAATATCTAACTTGAACAAAATATATAATATCGTAATAGAAATCATAACAAAATATAATTTTACATTAACGTAAATACCTTTCAAATATAACAGTAAATGTATATATTATTTAAACACTTACTTAATTGCTCTACATCATTTGTAATAACTTCGTCAGTTTGAAGCGTATTGGCACCTGTATTGGTATCTCTTGTTGCCAGAGAATCAAACAAGCACTGAGAGTTCTCCCCACATGTTTCAACTGCATTAGAATACAACTCTGTACCTTTATTTTCTGCTACTAAATTGTCTAAGAACATTGGGACAAAGTCTTCTTCATTCATTGTATCATGCGTTTCATTTGTTCTGTATGTAAATAATGACTCTGATGCTGAAATCCGCCCTGCGAAGTCACGAGAAATAGGCAGTTAATTATTTTGTTGTGTGTTTATTGACATAATGTTAAAAATAAAAGGAATGATTGTGAACAATTATTAGGCAAGACGCAACTTTATTATATTCCATAGGATTAATTATTTTAAAAAAGCTCAAAATATATTGTTACAGAAATTAGCTATTTTTAAACCATTTCTAAACTAGACCTGTGTCAGGGCTGTAGTTTAATTGTTAGTTAATATAAATTACATGTCAATGTGTAAGATGTAGGTTCATCTATCCAGGTTGACAATAATAATATAGTCGAAAGCTTAAAACGTAAGTTCTTTTGTTTTCTGCTTTATCCAGAGATATAAAGTTTAAATTGATATTTATTAATTTGTAACATGTGTAACACTGTACAGGTGCGGATCTAGAAAAAAAAAGTAGGTGGTAGGGGCATATGACTATCCTATGTGTGTGTGTTAACAAAAAATCGTAATTGTAATCAATTACAGTAACTTTTAAATGCCAATGTAATTCAGTGTTACATGCTGGCCAAAATAGAAAATCGAGTCTGTTTGTACCAGGAGGTTGAACGATCTAAGGTTAACGAAAACTAAATTGTGCAGGTAATATTCGTACCTGCTCGCACGTATGTATAAGACTGTTGTCTCTATATCGTGGCCGAAGCATCGCGCTGTGCGCTGTTGCGAGTCGAATCCTACCCCAGAGCATTAATACCAAAGAAAGAAAACATCTAGTTTTACACAAATTTAAGTTCAACAAATAGTATTGTCTAAATCAAACAAGCATCAGTAGCGTGTTTAATTTGAACAGGAAATGATACACTATTTAAGATTGTTATATTTGTGATTTAACTGAAATCACATAATAAATATCCTGTTGTATGTGTCCCGTTGTTTCGTACTCATTGATGGAAAAATTCGTTAGGCTCCAAAGCTGTTAGTACATATGTAGAAAAATAGGGTCATGTTCGCAATTCATGTTAATTTATGGAAACGTTTTTCCGACTCAAAATTTTATACTGAACAAGAATAACGTTAAGTAGCCGCCAACATAACGGCGGATTTTAAATTTACTTTTAATTGATCATGTGTAAAAACTCTTAAACAAAATAAAAGAAGGAAGATGAAGAACATTGTATTAATCTGTCTCTTATACACATCTAGATGTGTATAAGAGACAGGTGCATATGTGGTCGCGATATGACCTCATAATGACCATATTTAGGCATGTCACATGTTTTTGACAAATATAATTTGATAATTGTTTTAATAGGGCCGGCTTTATGTGCCAGGGGCTCAATCATGTCAAAAGTAGAATGTAATAGAAACGCATTTCGGCCTACCTCTTTATCGAATGTCATCCGCCATGTTGAGTGATTTGAGACAATTTTATCTCCTGGCTTAGGTTCAAGTAACTCCGGAATAATTGCAGGGGAAGTCACTGAAATAACAAGATAAGATGCTGTAAGTTACAATTTAGGAGAAATGTATTTGTTCATACTTGTAGATTCCTCTTGGTTTTAAGTTCAATGGCTGGATCTCAGTAGAGATACAAAAATGATAAGCAACAGCTAAAAAGTAAACGTAAGTAAACAGCCAGAAATAGAACCAGTGTAAAGCTCCATTTTATCCCATACAGTCAAAATATTGGGGGGAGGGGGTGATAAAATGGACCATCCCCCTCCTTTGTCAAATATTGGGGAGACATATCCCCCATCCCCCGGGATCTACGTCTATGGTTGTCACTCGATATGTTTATTTACCTTCACTTCCCAACATAGTGCAGGGGCTTATGTCATTATCTTCGCAATTCATGTTAGTTTGCCATACCAAGAAAACTGCTTAAAGCTTGTGCAACCTTTAGAGCTGGCATCTCGCATATCCTTTATCTTCTCAGGATCGGGTCTTATACCATTGTTAGTTAGAAGATGATGTCCAACATAGGAAACCAAACTTTCTTATTCAAGCGCAGTCCGACCTTCTGAATTCTCTGTAGCACCTCCTTCAAATTCTTATCATGCCACTCTTGATCTTTACCAGTGACTAGCAGGTCATCCACAATTATCTCACAAGGATATCCTTCATAGAGTATTTCCATTGTGCATTCGAATACTTCTGATCCATTATTGATACCATATGGCATTCTAAGATACCGGCCAAGGGGAGTGTTGAACGTAGTCAACTTTGAAGATTTTTCATCTAATGGTACATGCCATTTGGCATCTAAGACTAAATACTGTAGCATTGGCTAAATTTCTTGTTATTTCCTCAACTGTTTTCATTGGGTGAGGGGTCTCTTCAGAGCTCCATTTAAATCTCTTGGATCTATGCACAATCTAATATCTTGTTTTTTTCCTTGTTGCAACCATTGATGACACCCATGTTGTTGCCTGTTCTACGAGAGTGATGACGCCAATTTTTGTCATTGTTTTAGTTATCAGTTGGATTTTTGGTGTGCTTTTATTACATTTATTAAAAAAACAAATGTCCTAAGACAAGATAATTTCAGCAATTAAGCTATATTTATGCAAAAATGCAATTTATAATTTGGACCGTTTAAAAATTTCCGTAGGGGTGTAGGTAGGGCTAAGCCAATCAAGCCAACACGAAAGCATGGACTAGGGGAATGAGATCTCAACATATGTTCACTTTACATTGTACTATGTGTATTGTTAATTAATATGTGGTCAAATAAAAGTTTTAACAAAAAAATATTCAACTGTGCAAGTTACTTTTGTTAGTATTTTAACCCTATAATGAATATAAAAGAAACCAAGGTTTCTAATTGGTGTATCCTAACTACCTGCACAGCAGGCAGGCCCGTAGCCAGCATGCTGCAAGGGGGGGGGGTTCTGAGCGTGGGGTCCAGGGGCCCGCCAAAGGGCCCCGGTGGGGTCAAGGGTAAAAGCCCCTGTGGGGGCTGGGGACGAAGCCCCCGAAGCCAGAGCATTTATACGATTTTAAAAGCATGTACATGTCATTTAAATGCATGTTCTTGTATATTTAAATACTCTTACACAATTTTAAAAATAAGATAAGACTACTTTTTCCAATACAGGATTTAGAACGTAAATGTTTATTGCGAAACAAACTTCTTTTTTTTTTTTTATTAAAAAGCAATGCTTAACATTTTAATGCTACTATGTAATGTTATCTCTAAAAATATAACTGGGATAAAATTAGCAATACCCACTAGGTGACTACTAAACACAGACCTTGCACATTATGAGATCGCTAAATACCAATATATTAAAATATGGAGGTATGTAAAATGTCTTTGCTTAAAAGAGAAATATTGCAAATAATATCTTATTTATTGCAGAAAATGAAGAAACAATAGGAACTGACAGCCCTACATTTTACTTTTTTACCAAAATAACTTAAATGTTAAGTTCGAATGAATAAAGGACAAGAATGAAAGCAAGGGATGTCTATTGTTTCTTTGAATTTGCACAATACATAGGAGGGCGGAGTTGTTCATTTCAGCTTTTTAAATAAACAAATAGCTTATTTAATCAATGGAAGCTCCTATCCTACCGTGGTACTAGCCTATGCCTAGCCTTAGCCTAGATCCTAGGCTACCTAGATCCCAGTAGAGCAGTACTTTAGGCTATTACAAAACAGTCCGAGACTCTTTTTTTTATCTTTCGTGGGGAACACCCACCTTTATTCAAGCAATTTTACATAATTTCTTTATCATCATCATCATCATTTACATATAAAATACATTCCTCAATAAACCTATGCCTAATAAAATACAACAAAATAACCTTGATATTTAGTAATAATATTAAAAATAAAATACAAATTTCAACTTTTCACAAAAAAAAGGAAGAAAGAACATTGAAAATCCCAGTCCGAGACTCATCAAGAGGGCATGTTTACTGATCAATCAAAATACAACTGAACTGATTGTAAACCTAGTCCTAGCCTAGGCCCTATTATAGGCTCTAGGCCTAGGCCTAGCCTATAAAAAGAGACGAATAATGTCAGTTAATTCTGACGAAACGTAAAACATTACCAATTGTATTATTTCCTTGCTAGCCTAGGCCCTGGCCTATGCTAGCTCGATTACAAAATAAATAATAAAATCGTTCGCAAATAATAGGCTACGACCCTACCCACCTAGAACGCTAGACCTAGGCCTAGCCGAAAAAGTACACCAGTCCCGCCGCCAGGCAGTATCATGAGCATGTGGTGAAAACAAGGGTGAATTTTCTTCGTTGCTAGCTGGCCTTGAAGCAAAAAAATCGGTTATCTTTTCTCGGCGCTTCATCTAGGCTACTTTTGGCGTGTCGCATGTCCTCGATCCCAGAGAAATGAAAAATGTCGAGCGCTCAAACTTTTGTGATGACGTCGTGCCGAAGTAAATAAACTCGGAGCACGCAATTGGTCAAATAGCCAAGGCAATAAACCTCTCATTAATATTCATTTTGAAGTCTTGCTGGTTACGTCATTCAGCTGGCTGCAGCTTTGTTTTGATTTCTACGATCGAACTACGATCGATAGCGACAAATAAACAGTGCCAAAAATGCTCCCATTTTGTAATAAATTGCACTATTTTGGAAACGGGGGATCGTTTTCTGGCTAAGGGGGTTCGCTGGCAAAAGGGGGTTCGCTGAAAAAGGGGGTTCGCCCGAACCCCTAAAAACCCCCCTGGCTACGGGCCTGGCAGGGTTGATTTGACCTCAGTTTGTAGCTTTCGCCATAGCTGAACTAGCAAAAAAATGATAAAAAGTGGCAAAAACATTTCCGTATGAAGAGAATCTGCTAATCCAATTAATGGAGTGTAATCACCTTCAGAGACATGGTGTTGTTTTCCAGTTGAATCTATCATTAATCTTGCCGTTACCCAAGAATTTATGGTATTACCACTATATGCTACCAGATTTGGCTTTCTGATTGGTCTATGTCATCAGCAGCTTTGATATTTTATTATTACATTACACTTGGCGCCATGGTCTATCTTTAATGTGAGAGGATAAATGTTGACCATTACAGTTGTTTTTATTACATTTTTGCTGTCAACTGTATCAATGTTTATGCCTTCTAAAACAAAGAATTCTACACTTTGTGCTTCTTCTTCTGTTGTGATATCATGCACTTTCTCCTGCTTAAGCTTTGTTTTGTATCTTTGTTTACCTTGGTTTTTCTTGTAAGTGTGTTTGTGTTTGTGCCCTTTGAGTTTCGTACACTGCGTTCCTAAAAATGTGCTAAAATTCCACATTCGCTGCACACTTTGTTATACACAGGACAATTATATCGTGGAAGAGAGGTTCCACACCTTCCACAAACTTTACGGTACTGTGATTTGGTTTTTGCAACCTTTATTGCGTCGACTGCCTGTGACAATTGCTTGTTCGCTTTTCCTGTAGTTTTATGAACCAGACATATCTGAATGGCTTTATCCAAAGTTAATTCACTCTGAGATAATAACGCCCTTCTCACTAACTTATCAAAACCACATACGATCCTATCTCGTATTAGCTCGTCAGTTATTGGACCAAATTCACTAGCTTTTAGCTAGGGTTTGCAGCTTAGCTAAAAGTGCTTGTACAGGTTCATCTGGTAATTTAGAAAGAATGTTGAATATATGCCTCTGTAGTATAACATTCTTTCGTGGTAAGCATAAGTCACGAAATTGTTGCTTTAGGTCTGCCAGTTTTTTCAGGGGACTTGGCTGAAGTAACGTTGCCGTCAGCATCGGTAATTGCAGGTTTGTAGGTAAAACTCCTACTTTTTTCTTGGCCAGCAAAATTTAATAAATGTATACTTTCTCTTTATCTGATTTATTACCATGAGCGGCTTCTATACATATCGAAATCTGGTGTACGGTAAGAATGGCCCCGGAAAAAATGGCCCCGGTAAAAATGGCCCCATATGACAGGTAGGTAAAAATGGCCC